TTGAGTGTAACTCATTTCAGTTAATTATTGGTGAATAACAAACCACCTATTCTAGTTTGGTTTTCTAGTTTGTTTCTCTAGTTTGCTGTGACAAAACACTCTGACCAATACCAACTTGGGGAGGAAAGGGTTTATTTTATCTTACATCTCCTGGGTCACAGTTCATCATGAGGGAGCCCGAGGTAGGAACTTCTGGAAGGAGCTGAAACACAGGCCATGGAGGAATGTTGCTTACTGGCTTGCTCCCAAACTCAGCCTGCTTTCTTATACAACATAAGCGCACCTTCCCAGGGGTGGCACCAGCCACAGTGGGCTGAGCCCCATCACTCAAAAATCAAGACAATACCCCACAGACATAGGCCAGTCCAATGGAGGAAATTCCCCAATTGAGGCTCCCTCTACCCAGGTGTGTCAAGTTGACATTAAAGCTATCCAGCACAACACCCAATGATGGTTTGTTAATAATCAGCAATAATTGATGATTTCTCAGATTCTGTGAATTGACTGGTTGGTTCTTTGCTGGTTTCTAAAGGATCCCCTGGGCCAGAGAGTCCAAACTAGTCTCTTCCACATGTCTGGCAGTTGGTGCTGGTTTTCTACTGGGACATGTAATTTCTGCTCCCTGAGATCTGTCAAAATAGATGAGCATTCTCTAAGGGAAAGGTAGAAGCCGTGAGGACCTTGGCTCCTGAGCTCACACAGCTTCCCTTCTGCTACATTCTGTTAGTCAAAGGAAGTCAGGGGCTGCAGAGATGGCTCAAGGGTTCAGAATGCTTGCTGCTCTCTCAGAGGACCCAAGTTCGGTTCTCTATACTCACATCAGGCAACTTATAACCGCTTGTGACTCTAGCTCTACAGAATCTAACACCCTCTTCTGGCCTCCATGGGCACCCATATCCATGAGTACACACACAGACAAATAATGTTTTTAAATCTTAAAAAAAAACCAAAAACAAGTCACAGGCCAGCAGAGGTTCAGTCACAGTTCAGCAGAGGTTTACGAAGTGGTAAATAGATGCTGCCTTTTAGAGGCGCCTACAAAGAATTGATGACCATACCATTTTACACTGGCTCCTGGTGACCTACATGTAGGATGAAGTTCAAACACCCCTTAGCACAACACACAAAGCCTTTCTACTTCCAGGGTGATTTCTTGCTGTACGCCCTAAACTCAGCCACACAGAACTGTTTGTACTCACCCAACTATGCTGTGCACTATCATACCTAAGATGTTGCTGTTCCTTGTAAGATATTGCTGTGTATTGAGGTGCTGTTATGTATTAACTCATCACTCTTTGATTACATTCATTGATTTCTAATTCTTCATTTTAATACTTGTATTAGTCACTTTCTGTTGCTGTGATAGAAACACTGGCCAAAGAAATTTATAGAAGGAAGAATTTATTTGAGCTTACAGTTCCAGGGGAATCACAGTCTGTCTTGGCAGGGAGGCATGGAGGCAGAGGTGGCTGGAGGAGGAGGAGAAACTAAACTCTCCAATCATCATGCAGGCACAGGAAGCAAGAGAGAGACTGGAGATCTGGCAAGGCTTAAGAGCTCTCTAAGCCTACCCCCAGTGATGTGCTTCCTCCAGGATAGCCACATCTTCTAAAACCTCCCAAAACAGCACCATCATCTGGGGACAAAATGTCCAAATACTTGGAGCCTGTGGGGGACATTTTCATTCAAACCACCACATTATAGAAGGCTCTCCTAAGCAAAATTCTTTGTGTAACTTCCTAATTACTTCCTTAGGGGAAAAGTCATAAAAGTGGAATTACTTACTGAATTAAAGATGTAGAATTAAAAGAAAAAAAGTTAAGTCTTTTACCAGGCATGGTGATGCATGCATTTGATCCCAGCACTGGGGAGGCAGAAGCAGAATTCCTGTGATTTCAAGGTCAGCTTGGCCTACATAGAGAATTCAGGCCAGCCAGGGTTAGATAATGAGACCCATCTAAAAAGAAAAATTAATTAGTAAATCAAGGTTTCTTTTACTTATATGTTTAATTCTTGAGACAGGTCCTTACTATGTTGCTCCAGCTGGTTGCTCCAGCTGCTCCAGGGCTCAAGCAGCCCTCCTACCTCAGCTTCCTGAGGATGACTATGACTACATGTCATCACACCTGTTTTTTGTGTTTTTTTTTTTAAGGTTTTTTGAGACTTGGTTCTAACTATGTAGCTGTAGCCTAGCCTAGAATGCACTGCGTAGATCAAGATGGGCTTGAACTCACAGAGATCTGCCTGCCTGTGCCTCCTGAGTTCCGGGATTAAAGGCCACCATACCTGGCTAGGTTTTTCATGTTTAATTCCAAAGTGCTTTTGAAAAAGGTCCTGGCAAATAGATCAGTAAGCTGTAAGAGGCCCCAACATTGGAGAGGAAGCAAGAAGCACTGAATATGCTTCTATCAAAAACATTTTATGTTTCTTTGCTTAACATTTAACTCAAGATAATCAGTTTTATACATCAATCAATTTACTTATTTTGGTCTTTTTGAGATAAGGTCTCCCTATAACCCCAGCTGGCCTGGAACTCACTGTGTAAACCAAGCTGGCCTTGAACTCACAGAGATCCACCTGCCTCTGCCTCCCAAGTGTTGGGATTAAAGGCCTATGCCACCACTCCAGGCTTAAAGATTATTTTTATTTTATATATATGAGTGTTTGCCTGAATATATGTGCACCATGTACATAGAGTGGCTGTGGAGGCCAAAAGAGCGAGTCAGATCCCCTGGAACTGGAGTTAAATGTAGTTGTGAGCTGCCATATCGGTGCTGGGAACTGAACCTAGATTGTAAGAGCAACAAGTGCTCTTAACTGCTAAGTCATCTTTCCAGCCCCCTGTGTGTGATATTTTTGAAAGAATCTTATGTAGCTCAGGCCTTCAATTTGCTAGGTAACTGAGGATGACTTTATACTCCTTGAGCCTCCTGTCTCTGCCTTCTGAGTGCTGGGATTACAGGCATGCACATCATGCCCAGGCCAATATATTTTACATTTATAAATAAATATGCTTACTAGCAGTCTAAAGATAGAGAAGCATTCCTGACAAGATTCAGAGCCATTGTTTACCTGGTAAAGTGAGAAGGTCCATACATGTTGTCTACTGTCCAGAAATCCTTTGTGGTTAGAGAGTAGCTACCACATAGTATCACTGGCATCTCCGTGTTATCAAAAGGGGTTGAGATTTTTAAAATAACAGAAAATGAAGGGAGGAAAGAGAAGTTTTAGGGATAATTTGTCAAAACATAATTTGGACATATAAGAAATTTCTAAGCCAGGTGTGGTGGTGCATGCCTTTAATCCCAGCACTTGGGAGGCAGAGGCAGGCAGATCTTTGTGAGTTCAAGGCCAGCCTGGTCTACATAGTGAGTTCCAGGACAGCTGGGACTATAGGGAGACCCTGTCTCAAAAAGATCCCCCCCCCCAAAAAAAGAGAATTTTCTACCTAGGTGTGGTGGCTCACTCTGTAATCCCAGCATCTGGGAGGTAGAGACAGAAAGATCATGAGTTCAGGGTCATCCTTAACTGAATAGTGAGTTTGAAGCCAACTTGTACTGTGTGAGTGAGGGCCTGCCTCAAAATAAAACCTTTTAAAAAAAGGACAAGAAATTTCTATCTCCTCTGCTAAATATATCGCTACCTCATTTTAGTCATAAAGAATGAGGTTAATTCAGCTGTTAAGAGCCCTGGCTGCTCCTAACAAAGGACCCAGGTTCGATTTCCAGCACCCACATGGCAGCTAACAACCATCCGTAACTCCAGTTCCAGGGAAATCTGATGCCCTCTTCTGACCTCCTTGGCATTGAACAACACAGGTGCGCTTTCACACATGCAGGGAATACACTCATACATGGTAAAAAAGAAAAAAGAATGAAATTAATTATTGGAGGTCAAAGGAGATGTAGTTGAGAGCAGGCCACGTTTTGTTCATTACTATTGTCTTAAAATGTCATTAATTTGTTAGGAGAGACATCTATAACCCTATAAAGAATATTATAGGGCTGGAGAGATGGCTCAGTGGTTAAGAGCACTATCTGCTCTTGTAGAAGACCTGAGTTTGAATCCCAGCACCCACATGGCGGCTAACAACCATCTGTATCTCCAGTTCCAGAGGACTCCAATGCCCTCTTCTGACCTCCATGGCCACTGCATGACATTCATGCAGGCAAAACATTCATGTACATAAAATAAAAATAAAGAACATTATTTTGGAAATTGGAAAATAAGTTTTGTGTTAGTAGGCCTGTATATTGGAATAGTATAAATATTTAGTGATTTTGAATAGTGGTTTTGCTTTTAAAAATTATAAATTCTAGGGTTTTGCTTTGTTTTTGTCTGTAAGATGGAAGTTTCTGCCTCTGCCTGAGAACACATTCTAATTTTAGAAGTAAAGGTTGCTATTGCTAATACATACATATTTAATGAGATTGGTTCTCATTTGTCTTTGAAGCCCTGCAGGGACAGGTTGTTCAATTCAAACTCTCAGACATTGGAGAAGGGATTCGAGAAGTAACTATTAAAGAATGGTAAGTTGATCTGAAAAACATGTACATCATTGTAAAATGAATTTGAGAGTACAGCTAAATAAGAATCAACTTAAATTGAGAAATGTCTTCATATAGTACACTTTGCTTTCTTTCTTTCTTTTGGTCTTTTTGAGACAGGGTCTTTCCGTAGCCCCAGCTGGCCTAGAACTCACTATGTAGACCAGGCTGGACTTGAACTGCTTCCTGAGTGCTGGATTAAAGTCATGTGCCGCCACGTCCAGCCATACTTTGCTTTTTCTAAGGTATAATTGATTTGGGCTGCTAATAGGCTGGTGACAATTTATTATTCATCAAAGCATTTTCTTAGATGTTATTATTCATTGTTGTTTCCCTTTTTTTTGGTCTTTTTGACACAGGGTCTCCCTGTAGCCCCAGCTGTCCTGGAACTCACTATGTAGACCAGGCTGGCCTTGAACTC